CACCACTCACAAGTGAAGTCCAGCCAAGTTGACACATCTTCAACTATCACACCATCCATTATCAGTTGCAGAATGCACCACTGTGATCAACAGGGTTGTCATCAGCTGACATTCAGTGATAGACCTCCAGGCCTTTCCTCTTACTCCATCTTAATTCGGAAGCTCTGGTGAAACCCGTTCAGCATTGTGTTATCATGTGCCGTCAAAAAGGAGCTCCGGTGGCCTAGTGCCCAAGGCATTTGACTACTAACCAGAAGGCTGGCGGTTCAAACCCACCAGCCACTCCTCAGAAGGATGATTGGGCAATCTACTTTCGTAACGCGTTACTGCCTCAGAAACCCAAAGGCGGGCACTATGAGTCACCATCGACTCAATGGCAGTGAGATTGGTGGTTTTCTAGTACTACTATAACAGAAATACCATAAATGAGTGGCTTTACCAAACAGACATTTATTTTCTCACAGCTTAGGAGGCTAGAAGTCTGAATTCCGGACACTGGCTCTGGATAAATGCTTTCTCTCTGTCACCCATGGAGGAAGGTCCTGTCTCTTTGAGCTTCTGCTCCTGGGCAATCTTCACGTGGCTTAGCATCTCTTGTTCCCCATATCTGCTTCTTTCACTTGCTTGTCTAGTATATTTTACATCTCAAAAGAGATTGACTCAAGTGTTGTTGTTGTTAGGTGCTGTCAAGTTGGCTCCAACTCACAACAGAACAACACAGCCTGCTCCTGCACCATCCTCACAATCTTTCCCATGTAACATGGTGACAACCACTGTGTTTATCTATTTGAGCAACTTCCCCTTTTTTGCTGACCCTCTACTTTACAAAGCATGATATCCCTTCTCTAGGGACGGGCCCTTTCTGATAACATGACCAACGTATGTGACACGAGTCTGGCCACTCTCACTTTTAAGGAGCATTTTGGCTATACTTCTTCCAAGACATATTTGTTCATTCTTCTGGCAATCCATGGTATTTTTAATATTCTTCATCAATATCATAATACAAACACATCAATTCTTCTGTGGTCTTCTTTTTCCATTGTCCAGCTTTCACATTCATATGAGGCAATTGAAAATACCACATGGCTTGGGTTAGGTGCACCTTAGTCTTCAGAGAGGCATCTTTGCTCTTCAGAACTTTAAAGAGGTCTTTTGCAGCATATTTGCCCACTGCAATACATTGTCTGATTTCTTGACTGCTGCTTCTATGGCCAGTGATTGTGGATCCAAGTACAATGAAATCCTTGACAACTTTAACCTTTTCTCCATTTATCATGATGTTGCTTAGTGGTCCAGTTGTAAGGATTTTTATTTTCTTTATGTTGAGGTGTAATCCATACTGAAGACTGTATATAGTCTGATCTTCATCAGTAAATGCTTCAATTCCTCTTCACTTTCAGCAAGCAAGACTGTGTCATCTGCATATCACAGGTTGTTGATGAGTCTTCCTCCAATCCCGATGTCATGTTCTTCTTCATATAGTCCACCTTCTCGGATTATCTGCTCAGCAGACAGACTGAATAAATATGGTGAAAGGATCCGACCCTGACGCACTCCCCTCCTGATTTTAAACCATACAGTATCCCCTTGCTCTGTTCAAACACTGTCTCTTGGTCTATGTACACATTTGTTCCTCAAGACCACAATTAAGTGTTCTGGAATGGTGGCGCAGTGCCTAAGGTATTTGACTACTAGTCAGAAGTTTGGCAGTTCAAACCCACCAGCCACTCCATGGAAGGAAGGCTGGGCAATCTACTTCCGTAAAGATTCACCACCTCAGAAAACCAAAGGGGGTTGCTATGAATCAGAATCAACTCATTGGCAGTAAGTTTTTGTTTCTTTTTTTTTTTTTTTTGGTTTACATCATCAAATGCCTGTGCACAGTAAATAAAACACAGGTAAATATCTTTCTGGTATTCTCTGCTTTCAGCCAAGATCCATCTGACATCAGTTATGATATCCATATTCCTTGTTCCATACCCTCTTCTGAATCTAGCTTGAATTTCTGGCAGTTCTCAGGCCAATACACTGCTGCAATCATTTTTAAATCATTTTCATGAAAATATTACTTGTGTGTGATATTAACGATATGGTTTCATCCACATTCTGTTGGATCACCTTTCTTTGGAATGAGTATAAATATGGTTCTCGTCCAATCAGTTCGCCAGGTATCTGTCTCCCAAATTTTTTAGTATAAACAAGTGAGTGCCTCTACTACTGCATCTGTCCATTGAAACTCAATATACTCCCTACACCAACCCTGTCTGCAAAGTAGATTGAGGGGAGGAGCATCCAGGAGAAGGGACGCCCCTATCAAATAGCCTCTGAACTTTTCCTGCATTTGCATCACTGGAATGTATTCCATGCTCATTCATTGTCCATACCCGTCAAGACGTTTGTATCTCCTCAATAACAACCTATCAAATGTTAGATCTATTCTTCAATAACATATTCTCAGCTTTTTGGACACACTGTTTGCTCCTTTTCATTTTGAACAAAAAGCACACAATCTCCTACATAAAAATCCAGTTGGGAGTCAATAAAGATAAGAAATTTACCACTTTTACTATATTTAATGTTCAACGTTTTCCTCTTTTGCACTCTTACTAGTACCATTAGTTTCATTTTTTCTAGGCCATGCATTTTCATAAAATACTGAAATACTTGCAAACATTTACCTAACAGCATTATAACAATGCCACAGCTCATCAAAGTCTACATTCAGCATAGGGAAATCAACTTAGTGTCAACACATGATGTAGAAAACCAAGACTGTGTGGAACTCAAAAACTGCCTATACACATTTTTTTTCATCTTCCTTATGTTCCATATCTAAGCAATCAACATCTTGTTGTGTTGACAGCTGTGGGGACAACCACCACATCCACATCATCCCAATTCCTCCATTTCCTTCCATCACTCCTATTTCCACCCTAGTCCACATTGCCTTTTCCTCTCCCTCAGACCAGGGTAACAGACTCCTAACTGCTTTCCCAGAAGGAAAATCTATTTTCCACATTGCAACCACAGTTACTTTTCAGAAACAAAATGGTTATTTTACTCCCTGAGATCAGAACCCTTTTGTTGGCCTCCCTTAATATAAAATCCAGAACTGCTTCAGGCGATATACAGGGAAGTCTAGCTTCTGTAACAAATGTTGTTGCTGTTGTTGTCAGTTGTCACAGAGTCACCTCTGACTCATAGTAACCCTATGTACAACAGAATGAAATACTGCCCGGTCCTGCACCATTGTCACAGTTGTTATTATGTTTGAGCTCAATGTTGCAGCCACTATGTCAATTCATCTTGTTAAAGGTCTTCCTCTTTTTTGCTGACCCTCCTTCACCAAGCATGATGTCCTTCTCCAGGGACTGGCACCTCCTGGTTACATGCCCAAAGCATGTGAGGTGAAGTCTTTCCATCTTTGCATCTAATAAGCATTCTGGCTCGATATCATCCAAGACAGGTTTGCACTTCTGGCAGTCCACAGAATATTTAATATCCTTCACCAACACCATAACTCAAAGGCATCAGTTCTTCTTTGGTCTTCTTTCATTCATTGTCCAGTTTCCACATGCAGACAAGGTGACTGAAAATACTATGGCTCAGGTTCAGCACAACTTAGTCCTCAAAGTGACATCCTTTCAACACTTTACAGAGGACTTTTGCAGGCAATTTGCCCATTTGATTTCTTGACTACTGCTTCCATGGCCAATGATTGTAGATCCAAGTAGAATGAACTCCTTGACAACTTCAATCTTTTCTCTGTTTATCATAATGTTGCTCACTGGCCCAGTTGTGACAATTTTTATTTTCTTTATGTTGAGGTGTAGTCCATACTGAAGGCTGTAGTCTTTGATCTTTATCAGTGAGTATTTCAAGTCTTCTTCACATTCAGCAAGGAAGGCTGTATCAACTGCATATCACAGGTTGTTAATGAGTCTTCCTCTAATCCTGATGCCATGTTCTTCTTCATATAGTCCAACTTCCTGGATTATCTGCTCCGCATATAGACTGAATAAGTGTAGTGGAAGGACACAGTCCTGAAGCACAGCCTGATACTGCATTCCTCTTCAGCTGTAACAAACAGAATCCTCAAATATATAATACCTCACAGACAAGGACAGTTATGTTTCACCTATCAGTACAGGGATGGCCTTGTTCCACTAAGTCATTCAGGAATCCAGGCTGATAGCATCTTCAACATGTGATCCAAAAATCACTGTCAGACATGTCTGCATGACTGTCAACCAGAATGGGGAAAGAGATAGGAGAACATGCAGGAGAGAGTTTGTGCATAACCCTCTTGCTCATATTCCATTCATTAAAAATTCTATCACAAGTCTCAGCCCATATGACCATAAGACCAGAAGAACTAGATGGTGCCTGGCTACCACTGTCAACCACTCAGAGGGGGGTCGTGCAGGAGATCCTGGATAGA